CGGACCCCTTTAAAAAGTGGTGGTCCAAGGGTTCAGGGTGTTAAAAAATTTTAACTTAAAATTTTTTTTTTTTAAATTAATGTAAAAATATAATTTTTAAAAAATAATATAAAATTTTTATAATTTTATTAATTTTTAAAAAATAATATAAAATTTTTATAATTTTATTAATTTTTTTCGTGGAATCTCCCTAAAAAATAGTCACTTTAAAACTATAATTGATAAAGCAAGGGATGTTGTAAAATATTTAAGAACTCCCACAATTGTTAGAATATTAAAATCCATAAAAAGGTAAATGGCAATTTTAGATTGCACAACACGTTGGTCCTCTATGTGTATGATGCTAGAGCGATTATTAAGTTTGAAAGATTTCTGTAATGATTTTATCATAGGAGCATGTGAAATCATTTTGTCAGAAGATGATTGGAATCAAGTAAAAGAGCTTACTAGTGTGCTGTGTGCTGGTTCCTTTAAAAATAACAACATTAAGAGTGCAAGCTGAACAATTATGTTTATCGGATTTTTATGGCATATGGTTAAGATGTCGATTAGAGTTAGGGAGATTAACAAGTTCTTTTTCAAATGAAGTATTAGAAAATACGAAAATAAGAGAGCAACAATATTTACAAAATAGTGTTGTATATGCTTCGATATATTTAGACCCGCAATATCAGGTTTTATTAAGTAGTGAGCAAAAACAAACGGCTATAGACCATCTTGAAGATTTATGTCAGACCCAAAACTCTATTATTTACAATACATTGGTCAATAATTACTGGTTGTAGCGATAACAATGATAATGATAACGATATTGATGATCTGGAAATTTTACTATTAGATAGAGAAAAAAAAATTAAATTATCATCTGATAGAAAGGAGCAAAAAATATCTATTGTATCTTTAATAGAAAAGTTCTCGGAAGTTATGAGAATAAATAGAGATGCAAACATTTTAAAATTCTGGGAGGAAAATTCTTCAATATATCCAGAATTATATACCTTTTCTAGAATCGTCATGGCTGTACTGGCGACACAAGTACAACAATTTATGTATTATGTAAATGACTATCTATTTTAGGTAAGCGTAGAACGTGGATTTTCATCGTTGACTAATTTACGTGGAAATCTGAAGAATGATATTTTAGAAGGTATCATGATTTTGAGATTGAATAAAATATTTAAAATATAAATTATCTCATTTCGAATTATAAATGTGTATATATTGAAGTATAATAAAAAATGAATGAAAAAAAGTCTTATTTTGAGTCATTATTTTTATGTTTCCTCTGAACCCGGACCCGAACCCTGGACCCGGGTCCTTTTTAAATTTATTACCGGACCCGGACCCTTTTTTTTTGTCGAAGGGTTCACATCCCTGCTTAAAACTACAAATAAACAATACCATAGTCACATTTTATTTTTTTTAAATAAAATTTCCCCATTTAAAACAATTTTGTTATAAATTGTATGAAATAAATTGAAAACAGAATGCTTCCCAAAGACACTATAATTCGTATGGAATGGATGTTGGTTTTTTCTATTTCTATAGTATTATAATTATTTTACTAAACAATCCCTCAACCTTAGCGCTTGAATTATATGCAATCATTTTCTATTTCACTGTAACCATATCTTATTTTGGTCAAATTTTTTAAAGATGTCACAAGTCTATTTGAACTACTTTTATATATCTCTATTTAATTATAAAAGTATCATAGTCCTAGACATCGAGTTTTATATTTTAAATAACAACAAAAAAATTGATTTTTTATAGTGATATTCTTCATTCTATCTAGAATTTGACACCAAGAACTTTAAAACATATTAAGGCATTAAACTAAAATGCAAAATAGTTAGGCATTACATATTGCTCTAGATTAGTGTTTTCAAAAGTGTCAACTTCTTTCTTAGGGCTTCGTCTTAATATTAGATCCAGATCCTTATCAAAATTTTGAAAATATTACTTGAATTCAAAATATAATGATTTAACTAAAAGAACAAACAATATAAAGATCGTAAAATCATAAGATTCAATAATATTTTGGAACGGGGAAAAGAAACCGTAATGTATTTTTTTAGACCTAATCTTAGCAAAATAAATCCATATTTAGGACTCACTTATAACTGATAGAGTATTAAATACTTTTACAATTTTTCATTCTAGAATCTTGGCCATTTTTTATTTTTTTTAACAAGCTGGTTGAAGTACTAAAATATACTAAATACGCATTAATTATTGATATTTCCTGATTTAATGTTTCTATAGTTTTTATTTGGTTCTTAATTCGATTATTTCTTTGTGGTTGACAAAATGGATTAAAGAATTAAAAGTAAGGCACGAAGGCAACCAGATTTAAATTTTTTAAAAGATTATATTATTTTTACAACTTTAATAGGACGAAAGATTTTAACCATTTTTTTCCAGCTTCCACAAGATAATATTTATCATATAAATCGTTATTGCTTAACTTCTATTTAATTTATAAACTTCCAATAACTTTTATTTCATAGCAAAGACTTTAAGAAACATGTACAAAAAGTTCTAAATCATTAAGTTAAATCGATTTTGCTAAAAGGGAAAAAAGGCTAGAAGGTAATTTTTATAATTCATGGGCTAAAAATAATTTTTATAGTTTATGGGTTAAAAAGGATTTTTCGATAAAAATACATCAAACTAGGAATATTTACCAAAATTTGAACAGAGATAAGGTATTATATCTGAAAATCTTCACGGTGTTTATGCTCGAAGGCTAAAATGTTATTTACTTTAATCCGTTTGTCTTTTACTCCAATCTCCTCTAATGGAAGGACACATTACGATTTATTACTTTATTTATTTTTTAATTTTTGGAAATCTCCTATTTTCTCCTATAAATCAAACTTTAAAAAGTTAATATATAAACTTCAATGATTTCAAACAATCAAAAAATACCTGTTATTAAAAGTGATAATTCAAATTACATTTCAACTGTTAATTATTCATTTTTTCAATAGTAAATTCAAATACATTGCTATTATAAAATAGCAAAATAAAATTTTAAAATCTTATACTATATTGCACCACTACTTTTAAGAAAAAATTAAACAAGTATTATGATATTTCTATAAAAAGGATCATGATTACATTACTAAATCAAATCCAGAAATAAATTTAAGGTTAAGTGCATGACATGAAGATATGCCATTATAAAGAATTAAATACGACAATATTGATTTAATAAATTTGAATATGTATCCTTTATTACGATAAACAATTATAGGTCGTTATTTGTAACTAATTGGTGGTAGCTTGTTATACTTCTGAAAGAAAATAACTATAACTAGTTATTTTTGGAATGTAACGACAAAAATAATTACTTTTTAAAATTACGTTAAATATTTATATGTCTTATTTATTATTTTATAATTATGATTTTCCAGATAAAATTACTTTATTAAATATAATGTGATTTATTTTAATTTAGATATTTCTTTTTTTAAATTTTTTAATTGATTTGCAAAGTTTTTGTTAAAGATTGATGCATAACCTTCATCATTCAAGTTAATAGAAATTGTTTTTTATTTGCCAAATTGGAAAATTTTGGAAGAATAAATGATAGTACTGTATTGTATGAGATAAATCATTAATAAAAAATAATACTATATCATACTGATCAGGCGAATTTTTTATTTAAACATTATTAATTTTACAGATTCTATGAACATTAAATCTCAATATTGTTAGTAATCATTAAAACTTACAAATTTAAACTTAAAATCAGCCACCACCCACCCTTAAAGTAATTAAATTATACTGTAGTTCTCGAGTATAGGCTCTTTTTTTGCCCCCTACGCCTATCTCTTCATTAGTTCACTCCTTTTTAATAAGCCTATAGAGGTTTAACATCATTTTTCAGACTGTTGCGCCTACAAGTAAGTGCGGCATGCCCACAAACGTGTGGAGGGCTCCTCATATTTTTACTTTTACACCCAAATTAAATTAGTTCCAATTAGATGGAAATGAGGAAAACCTAACGCAGCTCTGTTGAAGCTTCAACGCTAGAGGGCAAAGCGCTATATATCACATATCACGTAAATAGTATATCTTACATCTAACTATCCTGTAGAACGTTCGAGCAAGTTACATACCAATTTTGGAAATAGTTTATTACTAACAAATAAAAATTTATTAAGCCCAATATTTTTGATAAATAAATATTATATTAGGTAATTTTTATATTTTTCGGTGCAATGCAAATTTATATTAAATTGTGATATTTTCTTTTCAATGCATATAAATATTACATTTTATAATATTTTTTTCAATACAAGTATTTCTTTATTTAATTAATATTTTTATATAAATTCCGTTGATTAAAATTTGTAAATCGCATAATTATTTTATACAATAAAATATTATATATGATTAGCTATATAAAATAATTTCGTAACTTACAATATAACTAGTTACTTTTAAAAATACCTGTTATTAGTTAATTTGGAAAATGTAACAAGTTATTTTTAATGTAATTATAGCGAAGTTAATTAAAGAATTAACTTTTAAACATTAATACCTTAGAAACATAATCTTTATAAAGTTAGAATTTAATAACCAATTAAGAAAAACAAAATTTAGTCAATTCTATCCATCAATATCTGAAAAAATAGTTTTAATTTAAATATTGTGATCGTGGTGAAAATATTTAGTATAATATCATTCAAAAAAATAATCAATAAAATAAATAAGAAGTATATTATCAATAAAATAAAAAAAATTATAGATAATATCATATCATATATATAATTTTTGGTTTAAATTTATTCATGAATATAAAAGAAAGAAACCTCAATTATACCAAAATATCTAAAAAAAATAACCTTAATAATGCCACATAAATGATTTTTATTTAAGTTAAAGTTATAGATAGTAAAATATAAAGGACAACATATTATTTTCAAAGTAATCGGGTTAAAAGGGAGATTTCTGTGCTTATAAAAGTTATTTTCAACCATCTACTTCTTCTATTAATAGGTATGTATATTATTGTTATATATAGAACATTTTTGATTTATTATCAATATTTTAATTTTATAAATCATTGATAGTATTATTATACTATAAATATAATTCATATCTATAAGTTTTTATAATTTATTGAAATAAAATGCCCCCCCCCCTCCCCCCTTTATTTAAAATAATGAAATTAATTCAGCCAATAAAACTAACAATATTCGAAGTTGTATATATCTGACACAATGTCTAAGAATTTGTTATAAACCGTCATTTTTTTTCTTGTTAATTTAATAAAAACTAAACTTTAAATCTTTTGTTTTTGGATATCAATTTTATTTATATGAACCATATAAAAAAAGAGATGACCAGTTAATAATTAAATTCATATTAAAAAAAATTATGTTGCTTATCTTTAAGGCGTGCGTTCCAAAATTAAAAAAAAAATATTTAAAAAAGGTTTTAGCTCAAATAATATTTTATCTGTGCTCGGTCGAATTACTTGGAAGTTCTGAGCACTTTTGTCCCTCCTTTAAGGCAGTGACGATATTGGTGAATTAATTTATTTAAAAAATTTGAAAAATAATAAAAAGGTCTCCTGGTTCGACTAATTACTAAACAGTTGCCTATTTATCAGGCTATATAGCTTTGACTAAACAGCCTAAAAGGTAGAAAAGGGAAAAAATATGAAAAATAACATTGCCACCAAACAAAAGGGTGTCCTAATTCAGAATCTGTTTAGCCTAGGCTAAACAAAAATAAGTATATCAAAATAAGTCAGACCAGGCGCACCCTAAAGGAAATAGAGTCTACAAATCCACTTATATAACGTCCCCGTTTATAAAGTTTTCCCGCATTTAGTCAATAATTTAGTGTTCCAGAAATCTTAATTATACAATGTTTTCCGCTTTTTTAACGCTTTAAAATTGTTAGTCCCTTGTAAAATGTTATGAGAGGATTGTTTAGACTCAAATAAATCTTAAATAAATGCATGTAAATGTATATTTTATTTAAATTATCTATTTAAAATATTTTGTGCTGAAACTATTTTAAAGAAAAATTTGAAAAAAATACTTTCAAGTTAATTATATAAAAAAAAAATAAACTCCTTAAATTAATTCTTTGCTTTAAAGTTCTTATAATTAGCCTAACATTTTGATTCGCATTTCTATTTTATATTTAACATTTTGAAAATTTAATAGTGAACTTTTGATTTCGGGGTTTAAAACTTATACATTAAAATATAAAGTTGTGTAATCTCCCTTTTTAGTCTTTCCGGCTGAAATAAACCATAACTATCATATTCGTATCGGTGTTTTATTAAAATGTCATAACAAAGCAAAGTAAATTAACTCGCTACTCCACGCTTGGTAAATTTGTTTCGGCATGTGCCTGTAGATTTAGTAAAATTAAGCAATATTTTAGCCATTATCGTGTTTAGTTTTAATGAATATAAAGTAAAAATTTTTATTTGATTATTCAAAAAAAATTATGAATATATTTAAGTATACACTATAATTTTCTTTTTTAATTGAACAAATATCTCCATGTATTTAAGAGAATCTCTCTAGCAAACTATAATAAATCTTTCCTTACACTATAATCTTAAATCTTTCAATAGTGGGGGAGACCGGGATAAAGCGATTAAAGGAACAAGAGCTAGCAATATTAGCGCGAATAACATTTTACCCATTGAGCATAAAAATTTTAAATTTGGTGTGAAGATAAATTTTTATATATATAACTTTTTACTTATGTATATCTTTTGGGAAATCTTTCTGGTTTACCCTATTTGGCTAAAAACCTGTTTTTTACGCAAAAATTACAAAAATTGTCCTCTACTTGTTTTTATCAAATATATTTATCGTTTATCCTCGTGATAAAACTGATATACATGTTCCTTAAAGTCATAATGATAGGATAAAATTTAACTAAAATTTATAACCTAACTAGAAGTAACGATATATATATATAATATTATAACCTTGGGGCAAAGCTATTGAACGGTTAAAATGTTTCTTCTGGTTAGAACCGTAAAAAAAATTTGAAAAATTAACGTTTAATACCATATAAAAAAAATATCTTTAAGCAAAAAAGAATGTTAGTAAATAGTTCGTGTGAAATTTGGAATAAAAATATGTAAATAATCGCAAAGGTAAAGAATAATTGAAATTACAATGTGGTCAAAATGGGCATATAAAAATGTTTTATTTGATCGTTTCCTTACATTCTCTTATTGGAATTGCTAATAATTTTTGCACTAAAAAATAAAGTTTATATAATTAGTCATAGCTTATAAAGTATTATAGGTAGTTTGTTTTATGGATTGGGAATTGGGTTATATATAAATATATAATTTATTCTGTTTTGCTTTTGTTTTAAACCTTTATGATAAAAAAAGGTAAAATACCAATTACCCCGGTCTTCCTTATTAAAGAATATTATACCACCAAAATCAGATTTATGTATATAGGTTTCTCAAGATTCTACACTAGGAAGAGAGGTTTGTAAGCTAGATATATTTCTATTAACGTTGGACACTTTACTATAACTTGATTTTCGTATTTATTGATACCTATATAATATGAAAGTGATATCTTTGATTACGCTAAAAATATTTAGACATTTACCGATGAAGCATAAAATCCTTCATAAAATCCTAAAATATTTTATTCATATTGAAATCCTCCACCGATAATATATTACAAGCTGCTGTACAAATATATCCATCATTTTATCTGCGATTATTGTTAAGTAGAATCTAGAATGCAACCAATTTTACAGGTTTGGCATCTTTGTAATTCACTGGATTATGGTGAGATTTATTAATTATATCATGATATATATATATACCTGTACCTATTAATAATTAAATAAATTTTTGATCTGAAATATCCTTTAAATTTCAATAATTGCCCTAAATGTGAATTTTCTTTTCGTTCAACCTTAACGCCAAAACTTGAATTGCAAAATAATAAATATATAATATGATTTTAATTAATGTGATGTTTGACTTTCTCCTAAATTGCAATTTGGCTTCCGAAATCATCAAATGAACATTAGTCCTTTTCCATTATTTTCCATGCCTAAAAGAACTTTCAACCCTTCAAATGCCTTTTTTCATTCCAAAATCATTGTGAACGAAGGCATTTAGTGCTTTCCATCACCATTTGTTAAGGGCAAAGAGGCCTTTAGACCATTACACCATTTTAAGAGAAAAAATGAAATAATAAATAATCTCTTCACACATTTATTTTTCTGTATATGTTTTATACAAAAGGGTCAGGAAAAATTTTTTATATTCAATTTGGAAGTAGCAGAGAAAAGAGGATGGCAATGTTAGAATCCTGGACAGAAATGTCCTAGGCAGAAATTTGCTAGGCAAAAATACCTAAAAAACATTGGACAAAAAAACATATGATAAAAATACCCCAATTTTCAAAAAATTTTTTAACGTGGGCAATTAAAATTTCCCATTTTTAAACATTTAAACAAATTTAATGGAATATTTTTGCTCGGTATTTTGTTAAGTATATTTGTCCAGTGTCTTTTTGTCCAGGTTGAGGATCAACTCATCCATGACATTTCTGTCTGTGATTTATTGAAATGAAACATAATAAATGAATAAAATATATTGTACTAACATTTTTTATTTGTAATTTGAAAGATAGGCATCTTCTTTGTTTGCAGATATGAGATTGAAGATTTAATTTTTAATTTTTAATTATTCATTTTTTATTTTTAATCTATTTTTTTTATGGAGGAATCAGATTGAAGAGACCCCGTTACAAAGCAATTAACAATAATATCTTACATCTTTTGAATTAGTAGGTTCTTTACAATGTTAATTTAAAAAGACCAGATGCATTAACCTAACATCCTGGTATAACAAACTTTGGGACTGCTTCAGCATTGGTTATATAGCTAAATCCAATACATAGTCGTCGTTTATAATATAACACAATGTTATATTCTTTTAATGCTTGTAATTAACGATTCTTTAAAAATTCCAGCATAATTGCCTTGAATGAGTATAATCAAGATATTTTGACAAAACTTCAGTAAGTAATTATAGAAAGGAAAGCGGTGTATCTAAGGCATAACTAGCCGAAGTCCTGGTAAAAGAGAGCTAAAAGCCTGCCCAGAATAAATGGGGGCGAGCGTCCCAAAAATCTTTTAAACAAAAAAGATTCAGCAACCATGGGTTGAAGGTATAGTAAATAACTATTTATATCTATATAAAATTAAACATTTGGATAACCAGATAAATTAAAGGGTAGGCAGTGAGGTAAAATATAGAATATAATCCAATTATATTTTTATTTGCAGGATAATAATCTAAACTAAAAAAATAAGGGGGGGGGGGGTCACCCTCTAATTGTGACACAATTTTGTAAAGCAATTGAAAGCCCTACCATCTTGCTTTCTGCAAAGGGAGTTAATTCTGAAGAAAATTTATAGCTGGGTAATTCATTTTCTGTGTCTCTTATTGATAATGTGCTAAACGGCCTATATTGATTTGTTCTAACCCGTCACAACTCACAAGGCATTTCCCAGTTTAAAAGTAGCCTTGCCATGCATATTTTGGCTTTTCCTAGAAACGCCAATTGTAGGTCTAATTATTATATGTATCAATAATTTTTTTGAAACTTTTAAGCTTGTAGAACGCATTTATAGGAAATATTTTAAAGTTTAAATTGAAAAAGCCGGAAATAAAAATATATTATAATAGTTCTAGCGTCTATTTAAAAATTACATTTTTAGAAAATTTGATCATAGTAAAAATATCGATTATTGGTTCAAAAAGATTATTATAATATTAAAATTTCCGTAACTGAATTTTAAAAAAATAATATATATTTCAAAATAAAATATCAGTATATAATAAACAATTAAGTATAATTAAAAAATTTACTTTATATACAATCATTTTTTTAAAAAAAGAGAGAGATTACTCAGTAGTTATCAAATTATTTTGAAGGATTAATCACTCAATTTTTCAAGCCATTTATCATAATAAT